ATGGAACTCTTATTTACTGATCAAGCAACTCACCATGTGCTGGACATTGAGTTAAATCTTAGGGTGTGTGTATATGTTTTAATATTTAAAACAATACTGTGATGAGATCATTAATCTACCTATTTTATTTTATTTTTTATTCATTTATTATTTTTTTGTGAGAAGAACTAGCCCTGAGCTAACATCCGATCCCAGTCCTCCCCTTGTTTCTTGAGGAAGATTGGCCCTGGGCTAACATCCGTGCCTATCCTCCTCTACTTTATATGGGACTCCGCTACAGCATGGCTTACGAAGCGGTGCATGGGTGTGCGCCCAGGATTCGAACCTGCGAACCCCGGACCACCGCGGCGGAACGCGCACACTTAACCGCTGTGCCACCGGGCCAGCCCCTAATCTACCTATTTTAGATGAAGAGAGAAAAGGTTATATCACCTGAGTAGTTTGCCTAAAGCCCACATCTAGGAAGTGGCAAAGCTAAGATTTGAACTCAGATCTTTCTCATCCGAAAGCCCACGCTCTTTCCACAGTACAAACCTGCCAGAGCAATAAGGGATCTGGAAAATGGGCTAGTTGAGGAACTCTTGAAGGAAGAGGAAGTGTGTCACTTTAAAAATGAAAGGAGTAAATATAAGCGTGGTAGTTGTTTCCAAGTATTCAAATGGTTGCCGTTTGGAAGAAGGATTAGCCTTGTTCTCTAGGCCCCAAGTGATAGAACTAGGGCAGTAGTGTGGAAGTAGTAAGAGCAGTTACCATTTGTTAGCCGTTTGCTATAAGCTGATTTCTCTGCACCACGCATTCATTGTTTAAATCCCGTCAGTGAGGCACAGTACTATGATTGTCCCCATTTCACAGGTGAAGAACCCAAGGAGATCAAGATAATGACCAGCTAGTAAGTGGCAGAGCCTGGGCCTGACCAGGTCTGTCCCGTACCAGGGGGCCAGTGTTTTCAACCATTTCCCTTCACTGTGTTCCTGTTGGTAGATTTCTAATCAATGTAAGGGTAAATTTCCAAGTAACTAGAAGCTCTCAGAAGAGGGAATGGATGTTCTATCAGAGAGTGAATTGCTGGGTTGGATCTAGGCCTGATGACCACTCAGGTCTCTTTCTACTCTAAATTCTATTTTTTTCTGTGCTCCTAGGGAAACAAGTTTACCTATAGATTGGTAGTCGAGGGAGGGGGGTGTTGGTGGGTCTCAAGGTTCTTTATCATTCTGTCAACGTGAATTCCAACATGATGATAAACCCCAAATCCAGTTTCTTCAAGATATTGTTTATATTCCAGTCATTTATGGTAAGTTTATGGACATAACAATCTGCAGAACAGTGTATTGCTATGACTTTAAAGTGTAACAGTTCCATTAGTAAGTGAAAATTATGCTATGCGTATGTTGAAATAAAAAAATTTTTAAGGAATTTGAAGGGGAACAAAACTTTAGTAATGACTCTTAGCACTATGTGAGCTACTTTGGTATCCTACCCTTGATAAGTATACTGGAAGTTGAGAAAATTGAGGTACTTTTTGGAAGCAGGATCAGAACTGCACTGGACTTAAGGATAAAGATGAAGGAGGGAGAGGGGAAATCTTTCCTCATTCTCTTAAGTGCTCATATTATGTTTTTCTCCTCTTTCCCACCCCCAACACACACAATCACAGTTCTTAAGAAAACCAAGAGTTCTTAGAATATATTTCTAGATCTGAAGTTTGAACCTGAGGTTCAAACTTAATCTGTTGATTTTTTAATTTGTTGGTGAATGAGGCCACATGGAAAAACTTTCTGCTTCCTGATTGTGCTCGTAGACACTTTACTAAGCTCTAACTAGCTGACTTTTTGGTTAGCTAGAGGTTATTTACTTTTAATAATGACACATTAAGTTTCTGAACTTAGACATAGCAGGGCAATCTCCAGAGAGCTCCAGTCCAAAGAGAGTGGCTGCATACATGCACAGGTTGTCATCAGATTTGCTGAAGAGGTGCTTTGTCTATCAAGGTAAAGTTAACCTTAGCTTGCTGCTGTCCCTGGGTGCCTTTCATTTCTCTCTGTCTTGTGAACATGCCAGTCTGCATATATATCTGCTCTATCAATTTTAAATCCAGTTCTCAGTCCTTAGGGTATTACATAATAATAAATTAAAAACTCAGAAATCAAAGGAGTTGTATATGTGATACATCTGAACTAACTCAACCTGACTTCCTGGGGGGAGAATGAATGGCCAGGCAGACCACATTATGGGTGCTTATTAATGACAGCAAGTATGCCTCCCTCCCTCCTCAGTAGGCACTAGGAACCTCCTATGTGCCGGTCGCCGTGCTGACACTGGGGATACCAAGATGTGGTCCTTGTTCCTTCAAGGAGCTCCAGTATAAACATCGTAGTGTGAGATATGTGCTATGGTAAAGGTGAGCCCAAGGAAGTTGAGCAGCTCAGACTTGGCGGGCAGAGGGCAGGGAAGGCTTCTCTGAATCAAGTCTTGTAGGATGCCAGGGATGTCACAGCAGTTACAAAGGCAGGAGGATGTATGTGACTAGTTCTGAAGGGCTATGTAGGTCAAGACTCTGGAGAGACATGCAAGCAGAAAAGTAGATACTCCGTGCTGAGGAGTTGGGATTTTATCCTGAGGGCTGTAGGAAGTCATTGAATGGTTTTAAGAGGGAAATAAGGGATGTAGTGTGTGTTTTTAAAAATACTACTTTGCTAGCAGTGTAGGCAATAAGTGAGCTAGGAAACAAAGAGACGCTAGATGGGTTGCAAAAATCCAGGTGAAAAATAAGGAGTTGAAGAAAAAATACATTTCGGAGACATATTAAGGAGATGGGCTGCAAAGACCTTGGTCATGAGTGATACTGGAAAACAAGGGAGGAAAGAGTCAAGGATGTTGCCCAGCTTTCTGTCTTGAGTGGACATGGTGCCCCTCATCGTGATGGGGCTTGGGAGAAGGAAGGCCATGTTTGTTTGAGAATTATGGAGAAGAGGATTAATTCACTTGGGGACAGGATAAATTTGAGAAGCTTGAGAGACATTCAGGAGGGGTCATCTGGAAGGATTGGTTGGGTGGGCCTGGAGCGGGCAGGAGATGCTGAGGTATAGTTGTTGGCCTGTCCCTTCCATGTTAGGAGTACACTGGCGTCATTAGAAGGATAGGGGATTCTGTGGACCCAATAACATTAGATTAGCTGTTTTGGAAGTCACATTAAACAAACATAACAACCTCTATTTCAACATCATTTAGAGTTAGTAGACGTATGAGATGTACTGAGGTGACTTTTAGCAGAGTTCAGCAGAGAAACTGTGGTCCCCAAGGTGAACTTGGGTTCCCTCCCAGGGTTGTTCTCCTCTCTGTATCCTTTTTTCTTTTGATGTCTCTCCCAGGCTTCTTGGGGTCCTGTGGTGAGAATCTTGGTAACCAGACTATTTAGAGGCTATGTTGGTAAGGAGACGTAAAAAGGCACTTTGCTAGGTATTTCATCTTCCCAATAACCCTGCAAGGTGTTACTATTAATAGTCCCATTTTGCAGATAACAAAACTGAGCCTCTGAGGGTTGCATGGCCTACCTTGTAGTAAGTGGCAAAGTTGTAGATACAACTCGATGAATCCCATTGTCTTTCTGCTACACAGCACTGACTTACACTGAAACAGATCAGGCCTGTTAAATCCCTGGATGAAAGTTACCAGTGTTGTTGAGCAAAAGAAGTTTTATGGAAATGATGTGGCCCCAGAGGTGTTTATAAAGAGCAACACTCTCCTTGGATTGCCCAGTTCCCCTGAGGTATCCCCTGTACTTCCTCCCCTGCCCCATGCCATCAGTACTCAGACCTGGTGGTTCTGGTGGTACCCTGTGCTAGGCCCACTTAAGGGTCAGCCATTAGGGCCTTGCTTATAATTTTTCCCCTTTTCCCAGCCTTTCCCTCTGCCTCTACTCTTGTCCCCACTTTCCCCCCAGCAGCCAGAATGATCTTTTAGTTGAAAGTATCAGGAAGTGAGACCTCTGCCCAAAAGCCTCCGATGCCTTCTCATCTCACTTGGAGCACAAGCCCTGACCTTCAAGGCCTCCTGTGTTCTGGCCTCTGGCTGCCTCTCTGACCTGGTTGCTGACCACACTCATTCCTTCTGGCCATTCCTTGAATGCTTCAGCACTTTCCGATCACCACAGGGCTTTGAAACTTGCTGTTCCAGCTTTCTGCCGTGCTTTTGCCCAGATAGTGACTGGCTCCCTCGTATTATTGAGGTCTCTGCCTCTCGGTGAAGGCCTTCCTGCTAGCCACCCTGTCTAAGATAGCGGCCCCCATCATGCTCTGTGCCTTATTCTGCCTTCTTTTTCTTTATAGCACTCATTTTCTATTTGTTTGTTGACATCTCCTGCGTGTGAGCTCCGTGAATTCAGGGGCTTTATCTGTCCTGTTGTCATCGTCCCCCTGGCTGCTGGAATAGTGCTGGCCCACAGTGTGCACTGGGGCATTGGTTGAATGATGAGATTAATATGTAGAAGCTGTGGGCTTGACCGAGGGGGATGGGAAGTGGCGTCACTACACCGAGGGACCTACAACAATGAAACAGAGTGTCTTAGTCTCTCCCAACATGGTTAGCATGGCTGATTCCCTCAGTCTCCTCGTTTGGAGATAACGGTAAAGGGGTATCGGGAAATTTGTCCACATTTCCCTGGGTTAGATGCAGACTTATTGCTCTGATAAGGATGGGAATGATTTTTCCTTCTAACACAAGTTACCAGGACAGATTTGCTGCCTCGGGAGGTGACTAGTAACAGTGTGGGTTCCGTGTCCTACTTGTGCCCACCCTTCCAAATCTGGAGGTCACTCACAGGAGTGTCAGTGTTTGTGGAGCTGTTGCAAGTGTCACCTGCATTGTGGCTTTCATAGGAGGAAGACTTTCTCTGATGACTTTTGTGAGCTCTGTCTTCAGAGTATCCTTAAACAGAGGTTTCCTTGTGGGAGATTTGAACCTAATGCCATTTTCAGTGCATTTTTCTGTTGCTCTTCCTCTAGGATCTTCTACGTCTCTCATGATTCCCAAGACTTGAAGATCTTCAGCTATATCGCTCGAGATGGTGCCAGCAATATCTTCAGGTGTAACGTCTTTAAATCCAAGAAGAAGGTAAAGGGGCAGTCATCCGTCATCTTTTATTTTCCTCTGACAGACCCAGCATACTCCCAGCATTGACCCGTCTCCCTGTTGATAAAGAGGCAGGATTTGGAGGTGGTTCTTTTAGTGCGAGACATGGGGGCAGTATCTCAGTAGTCTGTCGTTGCTTCTGTATAATGAAATTCTCTTTTAGTTTCATCTGAACTTTGTACTTAGTTACATGCAGACAACTGGAGAGATCTCCACCATTGGATAAGTGCACTGGAACAGAAGCAGGTAGACAGCACCAGGAATGATGCTCACCTTGGTGTGTGGTAGGGAAGAAGCATTGCCATTTACTAAGGTTGATGCTTCGTCATAATTCTGTATATTGATCAGTAGGCTACCAATCATGACATGTGGAATCTGGTTTAGACTTAGTGTGTGATATTGGTTGTCCTGGATGGTTATTTTGGTCTGGTAAACTTGCTGCTTTAATAAATGCAACTTGCAATTCTGTAGAGGCATGCTTCCACCCTGTCATTCCTCTAGGAGCCTAACACACAAAAAGGTTTTAACCTGGGCTCTCGCCCCACCTCTCCACTGGAACCTTGAGTGATGTTATGTGGGTCACTATTCCCCATGGGTCTCAGCTTCCTTATCTATAAAACAAGGAGGAAAATCAAAATCAATATTTCCTAAAATATAGTCTGTAAAACATTTACCATCCAAAATGTTCCGTGTTAAAACTTTCCTATTTAAATTTGCTGGGAAGTCCTGAAGTTAGAGAAACTGCTTTAACTTTATCTAACCCAGCATTTCTCAAACTGATTTGGCCGTGGAATCATACTTTTTTCATGCAATATGTGTTAATATCCTGGGAACTATTTTTCTGCAGAAGAGATTTTGGAAAACACTCTTATTTATGCCTCTAAGGTCCCTTACACATCTACCATTCTAGACACAAACCACTAAGCCTGGTTTCTATGAGGACTACTTACAAGCCCCTTCCTAGGTACTCTTTCTTTGATGCTGCGGGGCATCTTATGCCGTAAGACGTCTTTAATAGATTTGTGGGTACCTTGTAAAGTGGGGATAATAAGAATAATGCATGAGAGGGTCAAGATTTACTACTATATGTCCCTGCCCCTGCCTCAGCTCCGCAAAGAGAGTTATGCTTTGCTGCTTTAGCCTCTTCCTCTAAAGAGATTTGTGCCCTTACCCACGTATTCCCAGGCTTTGTTTTTCATTTTATTTATTTATTTTTTCTCCCCAAAGCCCCAGTAGATAGTTGTATGTCGTAGTTGCACATCCTTCTAGTTGCTGTATGTGGGACGCGGCCTCAGCATTGTCAGAGAAGCGGTGCGTCGGTGCACGCCCGGGATCCGAACCCGGGCCGCCAGCAGCGGAGCGCGCGCACTTAACCGCTAAGCCACGGGGCCGACCCTTCCCAGGCTTTTTAATGCAAATCATGGAGTTAGATGGAAAGAGCTAGGACTGGAAAGGTGAAAGGAAGAAGGGGCAAGTTGACAGACATCACATCTAAATAATAGTACAGTTGAGAGAAAAAAGTGTAAGTGGGGCTAAATTGAGCTGCATATTAAAGAACTGATACAAAGAGGAGGGAGAGAAAGAAAAGCCAGAGAGGCTGGAGATGAGCGAGTTGAGGGTTTGGGAGAGTAAGGCTGTTATGCAGCTTTGAGCTATAGGGGATCTGGGGAGGAGAGAAAAGGAACTACAAAGTGACATATGGATTGGATCACCTGTAATGTTCTTAGACAGGTGCAGCTAAAGACTAGAATTCCCGTTTAATTCATTTTGATTGCTCCTTTGTACATCTGACTTTAGTTTTGTACAGAGACTAGACCACATGAACTTGGAATTTATTAGAGTTACAAATAACACTTTGTAATTTACCAAGTGCTTTAATATTTAATTTTATTTTATCATTATAACACCTATGTGAAGAAGTTAAGACAGGTAATTTTCATCCCCAATTTTACAGATGATCCAATTGAGGCTCAGAGAGATTAAATGACTTGCCCAAGGTCCCATGAATAGGCACTGGCTAGAGTCAGGGAGACATGCAGAACAAAAGAATTTTGAGCAGGAAACTTAGGTAAAAGGCATCATTATATTAGCCTTGCTATCAGATCTAGTGTGGCAATGCAAACACACTGGGGTCATCCAGTTCTGCCAAGACCTGAGTCTAAGAACAGTGTCCACTGGGAACTTGGATCTTGAGGTGAAGCACAGAATCAAGTTCTTATTACCCAATGAAAAGAGTAGTCATCTGGTTCCCTATCATATCAATTTCTTCTGTGTCTCGTAGCTCTCGGAGCTAATTCTGATCTCTGGCTCTTCTATTTTCTATATCCCTTATACCCTCACCTACTGAGACTGTAACTCTTCATAGAGTTGGTTCTCAGGCCCTTTGCTGGCCTATAGCCATGCAGCTGAAGGAATTGTTTCCAGATAGCCTGGGCTGTGAGCTCCATTGCTGCTGAACTATAGGTGGAAGGGCCGGTTTCCAAGCCAGGAAAGAGAAGTCAATTGTTCAGCAAAGGAAGCAGAATTGGGAACACGTCTGCAAGGTTTTGCATGCTTATCCTGGTTAACTTCCAAATACAGTGATTTACTTTTTTGTAAAACACTTCTGGTTTGGGGAGATAATAGCTTGGGAAACAGTTTTAATTGGCAAATCATAGGAATACTTAAGAGGTGAGAGGGAAAAGGACTATATGCCCTGAGGAAGTGTGTATTGGAGGGATATTTCTGGATTGTTGGCGATCAATAGGGAGATCTCTTGACTGGAAGCCAACAGACCTGGATGTTCTCCAGAGCCCTTGTGTTGATCATAGTGTGGAAAACCTTGTATGAGCTCCTTGCTGTGTCAGGGCTTTGGTTATTGCTGTTCACATCACATCAGGTTCCCTGTGTATGTGTCCATGGCACATTTCCCGTGACAGGTTTCTAATGTGGGTGTCACCCTTACCTTACAGTTCAGCATGCGGAACAGAATTGTCTCTTCTGTTGGTTGAGAATTTGAGTCAGGTGTTTCAACTTTCCTGGTGGAGGGCCTCCCTGCCCCTCGCTCCCACACAGTTGTTATTCTATACCTATGGATCTTCCTGTACCCACTCAAACGTATAGCCAATGTGGTTCTCATCTTGGGGATTTTAATCTTGAGCAGATTTTTTTAAATTGGGCTTTCATCAAAAGTTAGATAGCAAAATAATGCAGGAAGATAAGATAGTTCCTGCTATTCATCTACTTATTATAGATTATCTAAGTTTTAGCCTTATCTCAAGTCCAATAATAATATTTAATCAGTTTTGGTTACTTGCTATGTGCCTGAGACTGTTCTACACTCTTTATATGAATTATCCATTTCATTCCCACAGCAGCTCTGTGAGGTAGGTGCTATTATACTCTTCATTTTGTAGTTGGGAAAATAGAGACTTAAGGGACATAACTCGTGATAAGTGGTGGAGTCAGAACTGAACCCAGGAAGTCTGACTCTGGGTCAGACTTAACGGCTCTTAACCGCTCCATGATGCCATCTTTATCAGGAAGTTACGTAACTAAGGAGTAGCCTTGTTTGCCAAGACCTATTTGTAACTGGGTTCTACTGTGATGGTTACTTGGGTATGAAGAGCTCCCTACCTCTGAATGGCTCAAGTCACTTTGACATCAGTTTTCCTTTTTTTCTCTTAGTATCCTTATATGTATCTGTTAGTATCCATATTGACTCCATTTTATAGTTGAAGAAAGAAAGGGCCCAGGGAAGTAAGTTGCCCTGGGTCACACAGTAAGTCAACAGTGCCAATGAGATTAGAACCAGGCTTCCTGCTTCCTAGTCTAGGGCTTTGACCACTAAACCCTGTTACAGGAAACTCATAAAAGACACATGAGCCTCTCTGAACTCCAGTTTCTCCAGCCATCAAATAAGATGAAATGCATCTCAGGAATGCTGATTGTTGTGTGCGAAGTGATCTGATCTTCAGGGAACAAATTCTGTGCGGCTGGGAAGGATTGCGGCGGGGAGGCGGGTGGGGGGGGGCAGTCCCAGCACTATTCAGACTAGTGCTAGAGGGAGGGTGGGAGTAGGTCTTTTCCTCACCTGGAGCATCCAATGGAGACCCTTCTTAATAACACAGACATTCCTGTTTCCCCTCCTTGGGGGATATAATGATAGTATTCATTTGCTAGGCATCTTGCCTCTTGTGAAGCCTCTTGCGTGGTCTCTTGACCTCTCCTGAGAAGTAGGTGTTGCCCTCCTGTCATTTTCTCCCAGCCCCAAGAGGATGTGGCTGTCTGCCCTGATTAAGTGTGACTGTAGTTATTAGTGCATCAGTGCGTGAAGTGTTGGTGATTAACAAGAGCCACAGGAATCGCCCCATTATCTTCACGGGCAGCTCCTTGAAATCATTTTGCCTGCAATCACAGCTCAATTGGTTTGGGTTAGGAGAAATCATTTTCTCCTGTAATGCCGTCACCATCAGATTAGGGGCCACAGCTGAGAAGTTTAACCATCCTTTAAAGCTTGCAACAGATTTTGAATGATGATAATGGTCATGTGCTAAAGCATAAGTCACTTGCCTGCCCAAGCATAAGATATGAAGGAGAGATAGGTTCTAAATTTAAAGAAAGAGCCTGTTTTTTATATCGTAAGTGTTGGGGTGGGGTTGGGTTGGGAAGTCAAAATATAGAAATTATATGTTTCAGAACTCATCTAGTCCAGCCTCTTGGTTTATGGATGAGGAAATCAGTACCTGGAAAGGTGAATTAACTTGCCCGTGGTCCCCTAGCTGGTTGTGACAGTACTGAGGTTATAACTCGGCCTTCTTTTCTCTATGGTGCTGTAGTTCATGGACTAGCAGAGTACAAGGAACCCAGTAGTCTTGCGGAAATTTTAAGATCCACTATCTTCTGTCAATGTTGAAAGTCATACCCACTTTGACACTAAAATTTCCCCATAGTGAGCAATATTCTGGTGTCCAAGGCATTGCCTTGATCAAATTATATCATCA